GGGTCTGGTTTCTGGAGAAGGCCGCACACTGAAATGAAGAGACTGGAAAAGAGTTAATTTGGGAGAATGGGGGCCAGGCGGGAAGTCCACCTCTAGTGGGGAGACTAACTCTTCTCTGGCCTTTTACCATTCCTTTTATGGAGATTCTGAGACAAAGACATCTCTTAGGCGGGAAGTTCCAACAACAGAAAATCAATAAGAATTTACATGTGATTAACAAATTAAAGTTGCCTCAACCACCACTATCTCAACTAGATGATGAATTAATAGCTCTGACCATTCAGAGCCATCAAGGTTGGCCAGCTCTTTTTTACATTTTATTACCAGTGACGAAGTCAGGCAGGAGGGAATTAGCTGCCTGCTGCTGAGTAGAGGTAAACTGTCTTTTTCTGAGGCCCTAGTAATATTAGACACTGTACTGAGCACTTAGATCTGTCATCTTTAGCTCCTCTCTGCTTGATCCCCTGGCCACTATTGTCCCCAGCTCACAGAGGAGGAAACTGAGGCTCAAAGAGACCGACGTATTGACGGTTATGCAGATGGTTCCTGGGGGAGCCATGACTCAAACCCAAAGCTCTGCCTGTGCCCATTCATCTACCGAGCTCCCGCTGTATGTCCAGGGGGACGGACCCTACAGTCCCAGGCATCACCCTCAGGGAGATCACAGCCCCGTAGGAGTGAGACAATCTGGAGTAATGAACTCCACCAGGACAGGGGAAACCAAGAGTAAGCTGGAGTCAGGGAGATTCAGGGTGGTCAGGGGGGCCACGCTGAGGAGGTGGCATCTGAGCGGAGACCTGGAGGGCGAGAAAAAACACCTCTTAAATCTTTTGCAAGCAGGTTGTTAACTGTTAGTAGCTTGAAATCAGCCACGGTGGGAGCAATTACACCATGCAAAATGGCATGCGCCACAAATCAATGGCTCTGCGCTCTGGGCAGTAAGGTGGTTGATTATTTACCTGCATTGCACTGGCTTTAGGCAGGGAAATGGGGAGATGGGGCTGCACTTTTAAAATATATATATTCCATTGATTTTTTTTTTTTTTTTTTTTTTTTTTTTTGTACAGAGAGGAAGGGAAAGGAATAGTTAGAAACATCAATGAAAGAGAAACATTAATCAGCTGCCTCCTGCACACCCCCCACTAGGGATGTGCCCACAACCAAGCTACATGCCCTTGACTGGAATCGAACCTGGGACCTCTTGGTCTGCAGGCCGGCACTCCATCCACTGAGCCAAACTGGGTTACGACTGGGCTACCCTTTAAGGATAACTCTGGCTGCTGGGTGGAGAGTGGCCTGCAGGGGACAGAGAAGCTGGGTGAGCAGGAGGGAAGGGCGCTGCCCTGTGCATGCAGGAGAGATGGGGCTTTGGACCAGCGTGGGCCAGCGGATGGATGTGAGCAATTTTGGAAGCACAACCAGCGGTCCTTGCTGAGACGCCCCCTGGTGCAGAGCAGGGTTGAGAGTGTAGGAACCAGTGGGGGTCTCCCAGAAGCAGCAGCCACAGCACCGCTTCCTGGGCCCTGGGACTTGCCTCCTCCGGCACCCAGGCTGGGGGGGAGGGGAAGGGACAGATCTCGGAGAGTCTACCCCGGTGGAGGGCTGCGGGGACCTAAGCATTGTCCGGTCTTAGCAAATTCCCAGCAGATAAACAGGCCAAGCTTCCTTCCCTGCACCCACTCAGCCCCCAGCCCCCAGGCGCCACACACTCCCTACCCTTCCCAGAAACCACCTTTGGCAGCCCACCCCAGCAACAGGGCTCATGGGCTTCAGCCCCTCCCTCTGTCAAACGCTCCTTTCTCAGGAAAGGAGTGAGTCCTTGCTAGCAGGTCACTGCCACGGTGCCTTCTGGAGGGAGAGAGAAGGGAGGGCCAGAGAACAAAACTAAGGCTGACTGAGTGCCTGCCGCCTGTCGGGCTCTGTGCTGCTTGCTCAGCTCAAAGAGTTAGGATTATAGACATTTCCCCTCACGCCCTGCCCTTAGGATGAGGCCTGCAAAGCTTACTCACCCCCTTCTAGGCTGTCTTCCGCACACGCGGGCGTGCACACACACACACACACATTAATTTTTTAAAATGAGGCGATGCTAAGCGTTCCACGTGGATTACCTCATTCAGTCCTGGGTGCTTTTACCTCCCGGTTGTGTTTTAGGAAACAGACTCAGAGTGGTCATGCACTTCCCTGAGGTCACACAGCTGGCCGTCTCGCCTGGCTCCACAGACTCACTCTGCATCCTCAGCATCACTCGCTGCCGTGACGGCTGGCCCTGTCCGCGCGGGGGCATTCGGGGCTGCAGGGCAGTGGGGGTTGGGATTCTGGGCCGCAGGCCAGATCTGGCCCATCCTTCGGCTTTGCCGTGAGACTCAAGCTCCAGGGTCAGATTCCAGCCCCAGGAGTCCTCATTAAGGCTTTAAAAGGGGTTGGTGGGGCGGGGAGGATTCTTCTGCCCTGTGACTGGGGCTCTGCCCTTGAAGAGGGCTCCAGCTCCCAGGGTTCCCAGCTGTCTGGAACGGACGGCCTTGCCTTCGGTCTCTCTCCCAAAGCCCAGGGGACAGAGCCAGGCCGGGCGGTCTGGGGCCTGGGCCCCTCTCAGCCTTGGTCTCCTCTCTTCTCCAGTTCCTTTGGGCTCCGATGTAAGCCCCCAGTTCTTCCCCTGGACAGGGAGGTGGGTCTGCAGCTTGCTGGCAGAGGGATGGGGGGAGGGAGAAGGGGGAGGAGGAGGAGGAGGAGAAGAGGAAGGAGGTGAAGGAGAGGGGGATAAGGAAGGGGGAGAAGAAGGGGAAATTGGGGAAGGGAAATGGGGAAGAGGAGGAGGAGGAGGTGAGAGAGGAGGAGGAAGAACCAGAGCATAAAGAAGGACCTGAGCTCTAACTAGTTTGGCTCAGTGGAGAGCATCAGCCTGCGGACTGAAGGGTCCCAGGTTTGATTCCAGCCAAGGGCACATGCCTGGGTTGTGGGCTCAATCCCCGGTGAGGGGCATGCAGGAGGCAGCCAGTCAATGATTCTCTCTCATCACTGATGGTTCTCTCTCTCTCTCCCTCTCCTTCCTCTCTAAAATCAATAAAATATTTTTTTAAAAAGAGGGATCTGAGGCAGGTCGTTAGGCAGGGAGTGGGGTGTGACTAAAGAACTTAAAGAGCAGACTCAGGAGGCTGCAGACCTGGTTCAGGTGCCAGCACAGGACGTGTGCAGGGCGCTGTGCTCAGGACGCCTCAGGCCCGAGGCAGAGTCCTTCCTGGGAAGCAAATCGTTCCGCCATCCCTGCACCCCAGCCTGCGGTGGTGCCGGGTCCTGGAGCGGTGTAAGGCCCTGAGCTGCTCGGAGCTCCCAGCCCTGCCTCCTGCTGTTCTGGCCTGTAGGACCCGCACCGGATCTGTGTCCCAGTCCCGGCAACCCAGCCTCCCAGAGGGCTCTGAGTTCCCACAGAAGGGACATCTCAGCTCAGTGCCCGGCCGCATGGCTCAGTGGTTGAGCTTCAACCTATGAACCAGGAGGTCCTGGTTCGATTCCTGGCCAGGAGACATGCCCAGGTTGTGGGCTCGATCGGCAGAAAGCAGCCGATCAATGATTCCCTGTCATCATTGATGTTTCTACCCTTCTCTCCCTCTCCCTTCCTCTCTGAAATCAATTTTTAAAAAAACAAAAACAAAAAAAACAACCATTTTTTTTTAATCTTAATTTCCCAAAAGTGAGACCGTGGGCAAATTACTAACCCTCGGGGCCTCAGTCTCCCCACCTGTGAGTGACGGCTCTGCCGAGTGGGTGTGTCGGGTTAAGTCCTGCAGGGAAGGTGCTCAGCGCTGTGCCCAGAGGTTTGCTGCCGCCACCGCTGGCCGCCTGCCTGGTGCCCGCCTGAGCGGGCCACCCTCTGAGGCCAGTCTGACCAGGCAGCGCCCTCGGCAGAAGCCCTTGCCCGCCAGAGCCTCCTGGACGGGCTCCTCTGAGCCTCCGTGTGCTGAGCTCAGCATCTGACTCTCCTTCTCCAGCCGAGGGCTGGGGATGCTCTGGGAAACCTGCAGCCCCCATTGTGACAGGACGGCCCCCGGGCGGGCGGATCCTGCAACAGGCAGGTCACAAGGTCAGAGGCGGCATTGTGACCTCACGGCCGGGCTGTGCTTGTGCTCCTGGAGCGGTGAGTGAGCGAGGCCGCTTCCTCCTCCCGGTGATCAGGTAGGCAGGTCTGATCTGGGGCTGGAGACGCTGAGCAGGCAGCCCTCACCTCCTCTCCCGGCCCCTCCCCTGTGGGTTGGGCCAGGAGACCCCAGTGCATGGCCCCCCAGGGAGACTTTCTTCTCCTTTTGGTCATAACTGGGGGCAGCCTGAGGCGAGCGGCCCAGGAACTCTTTGCAAAGCGAGGTCGAAGGTCCCTGGCAATTAGACCACCTTCCCAGCCAGCCAGGAGCTTATTCAAAGCGTCCCTCTCGGTCTCCACCCTAACTCGGTCAGCTCTGGATAAGCTCAGAGTTTGTGATGTGGGCTAAGAGCACGCCTGGGCGGAGGGATGGGCAGGGAGAGAAAGACGACAAAGCGCATCTCCCTATGTGGGCAGCGGCTGAGCCAGCCGTGCTCTGACCCTGACCCTGACCCTGACCCTGACCCTGACCCTGACCATCCTGGGTGCCGTGGAAACCAGTGCCTGCTGGGAGTCCGGGGTGCTGGTGGCCTCCAGACTTGTGGTGATGGAACTATCCGGGGTGGCAGGGCCAGAGGCTGCTACAGAATGGCACGTTTGGCCCTTCCAGAGCTGGGGCGCAGCTCAAAGACCCCAGATTTTGGATTTCATGAGCCCCAAGTCCAAATCCAGTCCTATTGTGTGTCCTGGAGCTGGTCACCCGGCCCCTCCGAGCCTGTCTCCCTCTCCGTGCAGTGGGAGTGTATCCTGGCCGCCACGGACTGTCGGGAGCACCGGAAGACCAACACTGCTGCCCTGTGTGCGGCCGTCACCTTCCTGCCCGGCCCCGTGGCCCGCGGCCTCCACAGCGGCCTGGCTGTGAGGGGCGATGCCAGTGGCCATGGACACAGGCCAGGCGTCCGGCCCGAGCCGTGCCGGCCACAAGGACAAATGCCTGCAGGTGCTGCTACGGGAACTCTGCCAGCTCCAGGCCAAGTACGCGTCCCTCCAGGCCCCGCCCGCCGGACCCCCAGCCTCATGCCCAGTGCCCCCGCCGTGGGCTGAGTGGCTGGGCCTGAGCTAAAATGCCAGGCCAGGAAATGGAGGAGGGGAGGAAGGCCTGGAAGTAACTGGGGAGGGGCAGCTGAGGCCAGGGGGCTGGAGGGGTTGGCCTGTGTCCTTTGACCTGAGACGCTGGGCGAGTCTCAGCCCTCCGCAGGCAGGGCGCCCCATCCCGGAGGCAGGGCTGAGGGTGCCATCCTGTGCACCTGTGGGCCCCGCCCCTCTGAAATCAGCCTGCGAGGTGGCCCCCTGGCTCTGAGTGGAGGCCCTGGGTCCTCGCCTCCTGGGGGCCCCTTCAATTTCAGGCCCCCCACAAAGGCCTGGATTCAATGCAAATGGATGCATCTGAGCAATTTTTAAGGAAGAAAGGTCTAACCCTGTGGTCGGCAAACTGCGGCTCGCAAGCCACCTGCGGCTCTTTGGCCCCTTGAGTGGGCTCTTCCACAAAATACCACAGCCTGGGCAAGTCTATTTTGAAGAAGTGGCATTGGAATAAATTTACATTTTAAAAATGTGGCTCTCAAAAAGACATTTCAATCGTTTTACTGTTGACATTTGGCTCTGTGGACTGATGAGTTTGCCCACCACTGGACTTAGACTCTAACCCTTCCATCAGGTTCTATAAGGGCTTCCGGCCCCAGAAGGTTGAGCAATGTGGCTCATAGGGTCCCTTGTGCTATTTGCAGGAAAAGACACATCTCCCCTGCATTTTCCCGCACTGTGTGGAGGAGAAAGTGGGGCCTGAGAGGCAGAGTGGCTTGCCATGTCACTCTGCTGTCACTCAGAGATACCCCCTGTCAGCTCAGCCAGCTGGCGGGAACAGGCCCTACTCTGTCCTCTGCCCTTGACTGCTGACCTTGACTAGGCGCCCAGAGTGTAGACTCATCTTGCTGAGGGGTCCCCTGAGAGTGGGACACAGCTGGGCGGCAGCATGCGGCCCTCTCCCCTCAGGGGATGCTGGGGTTCCTGACCTCAGACTGGGTGCTTATGAGGTGCTAGGTCCCCAGGCCAGTCCCGGACAGCCCGTGGGGGAGGGTCTCTCATGACCCCCCATCACAGATGACCACAGAGAGGCAAAACACCTGCCAGGTCACCTCCTAATAGGGGCTCAAGCCACCCAGAGACCCCCAAACCCCAATATCCTGGCTTCACTCTCCCCGGGGCCCCAGCTCACTGCCTGGCCACAGGCACCTCTCTGACCTCGTTGTGGCTCAGTTTGCTCAGTGGTAAAACGGGGTGGAAAGACTGGAGCCAGTGGCCCACTGATGGGGGGAGGAGTGGCAGGCCAGCACCGCTCTGAGCAGGGGACCCCAGAGGGCGGCCCTGCAGGGGGTCAGGAGCTGGGAGCCTCCCAGTCACAGCCTCACGGCTGGCTCACACTGTCTCTGCGATGTCTCCACAGGCAGAGGAAGCTGAAGAGGGAGGTGGAGAAGTACAAGCTTTTTGAAGACTATCTGGTTAAGGTCCTGGAGAAAATCCCCAAGGGTATGTCTGTGGCTTCCTGGGTGTGGCCACTTCCTAGACTCCGCAGTGGGGCACAGGGTGTGGCCACCCTGAGCCTGGAGCTCATCTGGGCGGATGCTCCATGCAGGCCGATGTCCCGTCTTTGAGCCAGCCTGCCCGAGGGCCCCGGGCCTGCCAGCACCAATCATGTTGGCTGTGGTAGGTTCTCAAGGTCTTGGTTTCTGAATCTGTACATTGGGGACAGCAACAGTTATGTGGATTAGGTAAACACCTCTTTTGTTTTATTTTCATTTTTTATTATATTATTTCAATTTTATTTTATTATTTTATTATCTATATACATATCTTACCATTGTTCCCCCCCACCCCACTCCCATACATGCCCTCACCCTTCCCCCCCCCCCCCCAGTGTTTTGCGTCCATTGGTCATGCTTATATGCATGCATACAGGTCCTTCGGTTGATCTCTTATCCCCGCCACCTCTCCCTAACCTTCCCACTGTAAACGGACAGTCTGTTAAATGCTTTACTGCCTCTGTATCTTGAACGCCTCTTTCATAAGCATGTAGCACGGGACCCGGCGTGTAGCTAGCACCCAGTAAATGTGAGCTACTAGGACAAGTACTGTGTTTGTCTTTGGTTCGTGTTTAGGTATTAGCAACTAAAATGGCACTGGCAGCTGAATGGGTTTTTGTATTTTGTTTTGTTTTATCCAGGTTTATACCAAAACCCACTGAAACAGTGCTGAAAACTTGTTGGGAAAGGGAAGGGGAGACAAACACATATTTATTTGTTTTGTTTTGTTTTTTCAGAGAGGAAGGGAGGGGGGAGAGAGAGAGAGAGAGAGAGAGAGAGATAGAGAGAGAGAGAGAGAGAGAAACATCAATGATGAGAGCCATTGATTGGCTGCCTCCTGCACGCCCCCTACTGGGGACTGAGCCAGCTGGAGTTCTGGGGCAGCAGCAGAAGCCCCATCTACCGTATTAGCATCACCACGGAGGGCCAGCTCTCCTGCCCACCATCCCCCGCAGCTCTGTCCCCACAGGTTACAGTGAAGGGCGGGAGATGGAGGAGGCCCAGGAGGAGGCCCTGGTGGAGGTGCTGGTGCAGCACTATGGGAAGCTCTTTGCCGTCAGCCAGGACATCCAGAAGCTCCTGGAGGCCTTCTCCAGGATGAGCCAGGCCGTCCACCAGAGCCTGGAGTCCCTCGAGGAGAGCCATCGAGCCCTCATTCCGGTAACAGCCGCCTGCAGCCTGGCCCAGAGAGTGGGGTCCTAGGGCCCCCTTCCCTCCCCACCCTGAGGCAGGGGTGGGCTGCTGAGAGGCCTGGGTGGGGCTGTCACTCCGGAGACCTGCTCTGAATCCCTTTCTCTGCCCTTCCGCTGGCTGGCTCGGGGTGTCTCCCGAGGCTCGGCTTATGCTCCCAAGGAGTCCTTTGTGGTAGAAAAGCCACGCCTTCTGGATCCAGACAGCCTGGTGGGGTTCACGTTCCAGCTCAGCTTTCCTAGATGCATGACCCTGGGCTAGTCCATACTGAGCCTCAGTTTCTTCATCTGTCAAATGGGGGTCATGCAACTCGGCCACTGGGTTGTTGAAAGACACCGAACTCAAACTGTCTCACAGGGAGTGGCCCCAAGACGTCCTCTCTCTGTGTGTGTCCTTCTTGGCTAGTCTTGCAATAAATAGGTCTTTCACCAGGAAGGATGGGCATTCCAGGCAGAAGGAGCTGCTGGTCAAAGGCCTGGCAGGAGTCGTGTGCGTGCTGCAGCTGGGGCCTGAGGACAGAGAGGGGAAGGGGACGCCAGCCGGAGAGGAAGGCTGGCAGGTTGATGGACTTCTTGCAAAGGGGACCATTGGTGATGTTTGCAGCGAGTCTTCCCCCTGGTGGCAGCACAGAAGACGTACACCGCTTTGCACCTCCTTTCCTTAGGAGAGCCAGGGCCCTGTGTGTGTGGCCGGCAGCGCAATAAGCATTTTACAGGCTTTATGGCCTTCAGATCTCACCCAGCACCTCCTGTAGGTGCTTCTATTCCAAGCACTGAGCGAGGGTGAGTGAGTGAGAGGAGTGTGTACCTGCAGGATTGGCTCCTACCTTTTAAAAAAATTGTAGTATTTTGTTCATCGTGAACTTTTCCGCATTAACTTTGATTTTTTTGAAAAGCATTGCTTTAAAATGTGATTGATCCTGATTGCTGAGGGTATTTTTAATGCCCTCTCGAGTTTAACACTTTTGTTGCTGCCCTTCCCGTCTTCGAGGTGAGGGAACTCAGGCTCAAACGTGAGGACACTGCAATGCCCTGTGTCTCCCAAACCCCGTGGGGCCCGGAGGTGGGACTGTGCTCAGCACAGCCCGGTGGCCACTCGCAACCTTGCGAAACCCCACTGTCCTCCCAGCAGCCCCTGCGGCCAGGAGGGCACAGACCGGTGGCTCCGGGTCTGACTCTGGGGTTCTGGGGGCTGAGCTAGGATCCTGTCCCCAAGCGGCCTGGACATGCCCGGTGCTGAATCTCCTGGTGCTGACCCGGCCCTTCTCACCACAGACCCTCAAGATCCGGCTGTGCCAGCTGCAGAAGAGGTGTCACCGCAGGCAGGAGCAGCAGTGGCAGTCGGAACACAATGTCGCCTTTCAGAAAGACAGGGGCAGCTATCATGTGAGTCCAGTCTGCTGGCCCAGGGGTGGGGGCGGGGGTGGAGGCTGCTGTCTCCTCACCCCTCAACACACACACACACACACACACACACACACCACTTACCAGCTTGCACTCCATGGCGATGGCTAGCTTTCCAAGGGCTTCTCCAAGACGGGGCAGGTGTCACTTTACCGGCGGGAAAACGGCAGCCACAGAGAATTCGGACCCAGCTCTGCCAAGAACCAGAGCTAGGATCCCCAGCCCAGGCCCAGGGCCCTGCCAGTGCTAGCTGCTGTCATGCCTGTGATGAGGAATAATGACAGTTAAGTGAGTGGTTGCTGTGCACAGTCTTGGATTGTTACCGGGGAGGGCTTACCACAAGGCCTAACCCAGAACAGGCACTCCGAACTACTGCTTGGTTGTACCCACACCCATTTCACAGATGAGAAGAGTGATGCTCAGGAGAGCAGGTCATGGTCGAAGTTTGTGACTAGGGCTAGGATTTCTGAACTTGGGCTCTCTAGCTGCTTCTTAGTGGCCTTCGGAATGTGAACTAGTTACCCTCCTGCCCCCTGCCTCCTGCCCCCAGGCCTTGCCCATGAAAAATGCGGGAACTGTGGCCTTCCAGCCTCAGGGGCTGCTGGGAGGGCACGGGGATTGAGGCCTGGGGCATGGGGCTGCTCTGGGCACACCCCACCTGCGCAGGTGTGGTCATCAATGTAGGACCTTCCCGGGCCCCGTGGGACCCTAATTTAGAAGACATGAAAGCTGGGGTCTGTAGGCTGCTGACCTCCAACCAAGGAGCTCAGAGGGGGCATGGGCTGGCCACGGGTAAGAGAGCCCCTTTGGGTCTTTTCAAGGTGGGAAGCAAGGCGGCCGCAGCTGATCTCCACCCTGGAGGCCTGAAGCCCAGGACGCAGGCGCTGCCCGGAGTGAGGAGTGCTGGGTGCCTGCAGGCCCCTGCCCCGCCCCTGCCCCAGGTGGGACCACAGGCGTCTCCAGCCAGGAGGGCCCTCAGACCCTGCGGGCGGGAGGGACTGCATACAGCCCTTTGGGAGTGGGGCTCAGACCAGGTTGAGGAGGTGGCTCCTGGCTCCAGGTCTCTTCTCTGACCTGAGAGAGCTGGGGCCTGGAGGCCAGGGGGCCAGGGGGCAGGGGATTCTGGGGGAGGGCTGAACCGCTGCCTCCGTCTCCTCTTCCTGCTCCTCTTGCAGAGTCAGCTGCTCAGCTATTTGCAGATGACCATCGACCACATGGCCCAGCAGTGCTGCTCTTCTGCCCCTGCCGTGCCCATGGGCGTCTTCACCAAGCTCGACCTGATCCAGGTGACACTCCCTGCTTCCAGGCTGGCCCCCACCTCAGCCCGTTCAGGGTGCATTCGTGGTTACTCTCCTCCCCACGAGCTCCCCTCTGCACGGCTGCGTGGCTCCTGGTGCCCATGAGGTCTCAGGGTCTCCATTAGTCTCTCAACAAACTTATGATGAGCACCTGTGGGGTGCAAGGTCGGAGGTGGGTGTCAAGGCACTCCTGCCCTGCCCGGCCTTTATGTGCAGCCCACCGGCACATCACACACTTACACACACTCACACTCACACACTTACACACACACACACACACTCACACTCACACACTTACACACAGTCACACTCACACACTCACACACACACTCACACTCACACACACACACTCACACTCACACACTTACACACACTCACACTCACACACACACACACACTTACACACACTCACACTCACACACTCACACGCACACACTCACACACTCACACACACACTCACACTCACACACTTACACTCACACACACTCACACACACACTCACACTCACACACTTACACTCACACACACTCACACACACACTCACACTCACACACTTACACACACTCACACTCACACACTCACACTCACACACACACTCACACTCACACACTTATACACACTCACACACATACTCACACACACAGACTCACACACACACATACACTGTGTACACACTCATACAGACAGTCACAGGTGCTCTCTGCACACCTCACAATGCACATGAAACATTCACTGACACCTGCAAACATACACACCAAAGCACACACACATGAAGTCACATGTGCAAATGCTGGGAGGGGCATTCCGGTGACCAAGGGAGCTCTGTGACGAGTCCTCAATTTACATTTAAGACTGTCGGTCAAGTCCATGGTCGTTTCCCTTCTCCCCTGCCCCCAGTAGGACCAGACCCCCATCGTTCATAATGCTGATGCTCAGCGACAGAGAACATGGGATCAAATTGGCTCCCACTGACAGCAGAGCGTATCTTTTTATTTTTAATCACAATATTGTTGGGATGTAATTCATATATCATTTTTCCTTTTAAAGAGCACACTCCGGTGTTTTCTGTATAGAATTGCCTAACCATCATTAGTATCTGATTCCTGGACGTTTTCATCACTCCTCACAATACATGTTGCATCTGGCTTCTTTCACTTCATGAATTGTCTTCAAGTTTCATGCGTACAGGAGCATGAGTCAATACTTTATTCCTTTAAGTGACTGAAAACAGCCCATTGTATGGCTAACCCTCAATTTGTTTAGCATTCATCAGTTGATGGGCATTTGGGTTATTTCCTTTTTTTTACTATTATGAATAATGTTGCTATAAATACATATGAACATGTTTTCTTGTGGACATGTCTTTTTAATTACTTTGCGTATATACTTAGGAGTGGAATTTGAGTCTTGTGATAACTATGTTTAATGGTTTGAGGAACTGCCATACTGTTTTGCAAAGTGGCTGCATAATTTTACAACCATATATGAGGTTTCCAATTTCCCCATTTTCTTCATCAACACTCGGTATTGCCTGTCTGTTGCAATGTAGCCATCCGAGTGGATGTGAAATGGTTTCTCGTTGTGGTTTTGATTTGCATTTGCATTTTCTTGATGACTAGGAATGTTGAGCATCTTTTCATAAGGTGTTTATTGGCTATTTGTGTATCTTCTCTGGAGGAATATCTATTCAGATCCTTTATCCATTTTTAAATTGGATCATTTGTCTTCATGGTTGAGTTGTAAGAATTCTTTACCTAGTCTGGATACAAGTCCCTTCTACAGTATGTAATTTGAAGATATTTTTTCTCTTTCTATGGATTGTTTTTTCAAGTTTATGGTATCCATTGAAGCACAAAAGTTGTTAATTTTTATGAATCCAATTTAGCTATTTTTTCTTTGGTTATGATGCTTTAGGCATCAAACCAAAAAGAAAAGAAAAGCATTGCCTACCTAATCCAAAGTTATAAAGATTTATACCTAAGTTTTTCTAAGAAGTTTGTAGTTTTTGATTTATTAGTTAGATTTATTATCCATTTTTATATATATATTATTGATTTTTTTTTTTTTTACACAGAGGAAGGGAGAGATATAGAGAGCTAGAAACATCGATGAGAGAGAAACATCGACCAGCTGCCTCCTGCACACCCCCTACTGGAGATGTGCCCGCAACTCAGGTACATGCCCTTGACTGGAATCGAACCTGGGACCTTTCAGTCCGCAGACCGACGCTCTACCACTGAGCCAAACCGGTTTCAGCTTATTATCCATTTTTAATTAATGTTTGTAAATGCTATAAGATAGGGATCCAATCTCATTCTTTTGCGTAAGAATATTTAGTTGTCCTGATACAATTGGTTGAAAAAAATGATTCTTCCCCCATTGACTTGTCTCCTCACCCTTGCCAACAACTAATAGCCCAAAAGGAGAAGTGCTAGTTCTGGACTCCTTTCTAGTCCACTGATCTGTTTGTGGGCCTGGTGCCAGCACCACGCTGTCTTGCCTCCTGTGACTTTGCAGGAAGCTTTGAAATCCGTAGGTGCGCGTCATACAACCGTGTTCTTCGTTGAGGTTGTTGGACTCTTCTAACAGGCATGTCCTGCGTCTCAAGCGGATGTTTGGTGGCGGGATTTCAGGCATAGTGTGACCAGAGGCCCAGTAGCACCTACAAGGACCTGGCCTTCCCGTACGGCCCCCCAGCCCCCGCCCCCGTCTGCCATCTTCAGGACTGGCTTCGTCCCAGGTCATGACTTGCTTTCCTCCCTTGAGGTCAGTTCAGTGGAGACATTCACACGGGACCCTTAGCTTCTCGGGAACACAGACAGCCAAGTCCCTTCTCCCGAGTTGACGGGTAGCTGCCGTCAGCGGTGAGCGAGCTGGCATCCTGGTCGAGAAGCACTTGTTTAAGAACATCCCAGGAAGTAGCAGGGCCCTCTGTGGCATGGCACTGAGGCACCCTTCATGTTGAAGGCACATAACTGGCACCCCCGGGGCTTACGTCCTTCGGCTGCAAAAGAAATGGTGCAGTTTTCAAGAAGGGTACGTGTGTCCAGGTAGTTACAGTGTATTCATGTCATCTTCCCACAAGAAAGTAATGCCAAGGGGTCCCAGTGGACTCCGGTACGAATCACCCAACCTCGTTTTAGAGACACCTGCATGCGCTCAGCATTGTGCTGGGGGAAGAGGTGGGGGTGGGGGTCCTCAGGAACTGGGTGCCTCTTGGGGAGGGAGGCCAGGCAGCCAGGGTGTGTCTTAGGGAGGAAGCAGTGGTCAGAGGCTGTCAACCACGTCCAAGAAGCCACACGAGATCTAGACTCTGAGTCCTCCAGCTCGGCCCCCACTGGGCTGTGCAGCTTCAGGCAAGTCACTGAACCTCTCTGAACCTAGGTGTGCTCCTTCACCTAGGAGCAGATTTTGATGGTGCTGTGGTCCCTGGGGAAGTGGTGTCAAGCATAAAGGATGAAAGATTTATTTTTTCCTCCTAGAAATTTATATTGGACAAAATGGAGACGGTGAAATTTATCTTACTGTGCATGGAACCCAGAGTGTGCTGGACAGACGGCAGCCACAAGGACCAGCAATGCAGAAGCCACCCCAGATCCTTCAGGAAATGTCCCCCGAGGCAAGCTCTCATCCCAGGGGCCTCCTTAACCAACACCGAGACCTCCGAGTGCCCCTGCCTGCGCTGACCCGCCGACCGCCACCCAGCGGCCAGCATCACGACCATCTCCTGACCTGCGTGGCCTCCTTTTCTCACCCTCAGTGCCCATGAGTGGGTGGGAGCCCGCCTGAGGGCAGTGGGCGAACGGGTGGGGTCCCCGGGGCCAGCTGGGATAGGGTGCTGGTCCCCATACTGGGGGATTGGCAGGGATCAAGATGAGGTCTGCCTGGGACCATGGGGACGAGAGGGGGTTCCTGAGTCAGAGACAGCAGCCAGGTGGGATGCCCCAGGCTGGAGACCAGCAGTCAGGAGCCAGGACGGCCTTTGCGTCATTGGTGGGTCCACCTGAAGCCTCGGAGCTCCAGCTGGCTGTCGGGATGTCTGAGTCACAGGAACGCCTGTAAGGAGCCGCCCAGAGCTGCAGGGTGCAGGGGGCTCACCTTGCATGCAGCAGGCTGGGGAGCACAGTAGCTGAGGGTGCTGAATTGTGGTGGGGGGCCCGGGGGGCGTGTCATCACTGGCCCCAGAATGTGAATACCAAGTTGGTGCCTTCTGCCCACCCCTGAAGGCCCCGGAGATGCCAGGAAGCAAGGCTAGTCTTCGGGAAGCCCTGGCTAGGCAGAGCCCCTCGGCTGGTCGTCCCCCCTGTGAGATTGGGTGAGAGGTGTCTCAGGCAGGAGGCCCCTCTCCAGATGAACAGTCTAGGTCACATGTGTCAAACACAAGGCCCGCGGGCCAAATCCGTCCCGCCAGGCCTTGCAATGTGGCCCGCACCGCGCTGTCATCACTGCACTCCGCTGCGTTTCCATCACAATGACAGTTTATGACTGTTCAGTAAACCATTCGGCCCGCGATATAGGCTGGATTTTAGATTTTGGCCCCTTCTCTGATTGAGTTCGACACCCCTAGTCTAGGTCAAGGTTGGAAAAGCTGGTCTGCACAGAGGGTGCTCATTTGGTTTCATTGTGTCGCTGGGGTCAAATCACCCTCGCAGCTGTGGAAAGAATTCAGCGCCGGCGGTGAGAGCCAATGCAGGGAGAAGCTGAAGGTGCAGAACTACGGTAAAGCAGCAGCTGACCTTTCAAAGGGGCATTTCAGAAAGGACGCTGCTACTCCCTCAGCAAACACGGGGTCTGCTGTACTCCGGGTGCTGCTGGGAGAGGGGGTGGGAGACTGCGGGGGGCGGGGGGAGGACTTGGCCACCGAGGTCATTAGAGGAGCTGAACATGATTGACAGGCGGCTGAGTGCGGTCAGGGAATCTGAGGAGGGAGCACCCTCCTGCGTTCCTGATCTCCCGGGTCTTTGGGGCCAGGAGGACGTCCCAGGTCGGGCTTGAGGCAGCTTTCAGGAGGAGGAGGATGGGAGGGCTGGAAAAGGCGAAGGAAACACAGGGGCGGGACTTCCCGGGGAAAAGAACCTGGCAGGCAGCCCGAGCAGGCGGGCTGGGAAACCGTGTGGAGCCCAGAGGCCAGGCTACGAGGTTGGACTTCAGAAGTCACACGTGGGGATGCCTCGCTCATCCGGCTGCTGTCACCTGCGAGGCTTAAACAGCAGACGTTGGTTTCTCAGTTCTGGAGGCTGGGGGTCCGAGATCAAGGCGCTGGAGGACTGCCCCGTTCACTGGGCTGTCCCCTCCTGTCCCCCCACCGCGGCCTCTTCAGCGAGGGCACATCCCATTCACGAGAGCAGAGCCCTCAGACCTCCTGGCCTCCCAGGCCCCACGGTTACATTGGGGGTTAGGATTTCACCATGCGAATGGGGGTGGGGAGGCGTGAACGTTCAGTCCATTGCAGAGACCCCTCACATTCACGCTCACAGCTCACTTTCTCTCCCCTCAACCACTTTCCAGAGACCTGAGTTTCCCACTAACCTCCCTGTTACGTGGGTCTAGGCCAGGGATTCTCCGACCTGCACACTCCTCAGGGAGGCTTGTTGCCATGGGGCGTGGCCCCACCCCAAGGGCTCCCAGGGCCGCACTTTGAGAACCACTGCCTTGGAGTCATGGCCAATCTTGAATGCCTAAGCTGGGGTCTGACCCGCCTGGAGCACATCTCCCCCTGCCAGGACTCCAGGTCCCCATCCGCACGAGGGGGTGCACCTGGCATTCTGGGAGGGCCGCCCCCCCTCCATCCAACCTGCCTGCTCCCCTGGGACTGTCCCGCCAAAAGCTGGACGTCTGGCCATCAAGATTCAGTTTCACAAGCCCCCAGGGCCGTGGTCGGCAAACTGCGGCTCACGAGACACATGCGGCTCTTTGGCTCCTTGAGTGTGGCTCTTCCACAAAATACCACGGCCTGGGCGAGTCTAGTTTGAAGAAGTGGCGTTAGAAGAAGTTTAAGTTTAAAAAATTTGGCTCTCCAAAGAAATTTCAATCATTGTACTATTGATATTTGGCTCTGTGGACTAATGAGTTTGCCGACCACTGGCCCAGGGGGTTCTGATGCAAACGGATCTCCAAACACAGGCAAGAGATACTGGGTGTTGACACATCAAAAAGGAGAAAACCTGGTCCACCTTGGCCGGCCTGGTCTTCAGCTGGGAAGGATGTTGGGAGCATGAAAACAACAGAGTGACACCTGAAAGTTATTTGATCACAAATATATACATATATATATATATATATATATATATATATATATATATATATATATATACTGCCTGGCCAGCCTGGCTCAGTGGTTGAGCCTCAACCTCTGAACCAGGAGGTTACAGTTTGATTCCCAGTCAGGGCACATGCCTGGGTTGCGGGTTCGATCCCCAGTGTGAGGTGTGCAGGAGGCAGCTGATCAATGATTCTCATCATTGATGTTTATCTCCTTTTCCCTCTCCCTTTGTGAAATCAATAAAAATATATTTTAAAAAATACATTTATCTCAGAACACACCAAAATATTCAAAGACAACTGGTGGAAATGTTGAGAAATGTGAAAAAGGAACAATTTTTGATATTTTAAGAACTCTTAAGGAAAAAAATTGACACCAATTGTTCCTATTTAACAAATCACAAAATAAGTAAAAATGGCCTATAAACATAAAACATATTCCAGGTCACTAAAAATAAAAACTACCTAATTTCTGCCCATCTAAAACTCTTAAGCTAGTACGCTACTGCTGTAATTTAGGCTCACAGACACTGCGATGCTCTCTGCAGAATAAACAATCTGGAAAGCAATTTGATAGGTCTCAACAGGCGTAAGATGTTTATTTTTCCTCTTGCTCAGTAATTCTAGGTCAAGAAATTTAAGTTAATAAAGCCAGAGCTAGTTGGTTCCAAATGGCAGCAAGCCCAACTCAACTGGGCTTAAGCCACTGAGAGAATGCATTGAACTTTGACATGGAAAGGCTAGGATTCCAGCTTTAGGCACAGCCTAATCAGGAAGGCACTGGTCTCATTTGCTCTGAGAAAAGAAGGAGGGTGTGGCTTCTAAGGATGGAACCAGCTCTCCACTCCAGGGATTCTACTGTCAAGGGCTGTGAACTGGGAGGAACAATGTCTCCAGCTGAGGGTCCTGAGTGTGCCCTACAATTTAGCAGCATAAAACAATGGACATATAGTCCCTCCTTATATTCCTATGGTCAGCAGTTTGGGCATGGCTTAGCTGGGTCCTCTGGCTCAGGCTGTCTCTATAAGGCTTCAATCCAGCCATCAGCCAGGGCTATGGTTTCAACTGAAGGTTCAACTGGAGAAGAATCAGCTTCCAAGCTCACCCACACTGCTGTTGGCCGAAGGCCTCCCTCAGCTCCTTGCCCTATGGGACATCTCCATACCAGCTCACAAGGTAGCAAGTGAGAGAGAAGGGAGGTCAAGCATGGTCTTTGTTACAATTGTGAGAATAAACAAGTCATCTTTTCTGTCAAAGGACAGTTGTGTGTGTGTTTTTTTAAATATATTTTATTGACTTTTTTACAGAGAGGAAGGGAGAGAGATAGAGAGCTAGAAATGTCAATGAGAGAGAAACATCGATCAGCTGCCTCTTGCACACCTCCTACTAGGGATGTGCTCACAACCAACGTACATGCCCTTGACCAGAATCGAACCTGGGACCTTTCAGTCCACAGATCGATGCTCTACCACTGAGCCAAACCGATTTGGGCCAAAGAACAGTTTAGACAGCCACCATTTTGGAGCGTGTGACTTGGCTGCCGCCATGTTGGCCATATGGCTTGCAGCTCCCCTGGGATCTGCCATCTTGAAACAGCAAAGGCCAACCTCTCCCTTTGAATTAGCCAATCGAGAAAGACTGTGTGCCTGAGCTCCAATCAAGAGCAAAGGACAGGTCACGTGTGTCAGGGATGATAAAGCCAAGCAGACAGTCTGCTTGGTGTGCACGCGCTTCCAGACCATGTGTGTGCACCCTTCTACATAGAAGTTAATATGTTTGCCTTGCTTCCTGGCTCCCCAGTGTTTTGTATTCTACCAGGACCCCTGACTTGGGGGGCTCGCCTTATTTCTAACACCTTGATCTCAAAAATAACATTGCATCACTTTTGTTGTACTCTCTTCGTCACAAACAACTCACTAGTCCAGCCCACACTCAAGGGGAGGGGATTATTTCTGTGAATACAGAAGCTGGGGTCACTGGGCCACGAGAGGCTGGGCATCACAGGGGTCATGTCCCTGCCCCAGGCGTGTAGCTAGGACACCTTCCAGTCTTCAGGAGGTGAGGCTATGGCTGGACCGGGCAGCTCTCTCCAAGCCAAATCCCCATCCCTAAACGTCCTCTGCTTTTTCCTTTCACGGAAGCACAGTGTGCCCTGCCCAGCCCAGGAACCTGCACATGGTACAAGCACTTGCTCTCTGAGCTGAAGAGATTTCAGCTTTTTTTTTTTTTTTTTAAATAATGTTAGTGTATTTTATTTTATTTTTACTTTTTTAATATATTTTATTGATTTTTTTTGAAAACTTAATATGTCTATTTTATTTTATTTTATATTTTATTGATTTTTTTTACAGAGAGGAAGAGAGAGGGATAGAGAGTTAGAAACATCGATGAGAGAGAATCATCGATCAGCTGCCTTTTGCACACCCCCTACTGGGGATGTGCCTGCAACCAAGATACATGCCCTTGACCGGAATCGAATCTGGGACCCTTGAGTCCACATCCCAATGCTCTATCCACTGAGCCAAACCGGTTATGGCGAGATTTCAGCTTTTAAACCCAGGCCTGGAGGAGCCC